AGCAAAGTCGGGGTGCAGAAGGGCTGAGCACAGAGCGGGTGCCCAGTATTTGATGAGTGAATGAGTGGATTTGTGCCAGAAGCTAAGCATGTTCTTAGTAATTTACATATACGCTTCACTTTCAAACTCTTGGGCAGTGGCCCATATCCCTGCTCATGACCCTCTTTGATACCAGGGACACCAGAAAGGGCATGGTGAGCACACACTCTGGAGAGGTGGATAGGCCTCAACAGACATCGGACTCAGGCCTGACCCATTCTCAACCTCACCCTCAGAGGAACCTACGCTTGTCTCTGCTTTTAGGAGAGCATGTCTGAGCCCCTTTGTCCCCTTCAAGTGTCTCACCATCTCCCGTCCCCTGGAACTCTCCTAGGTTAGGAGGATGTAGGAGGGAAAGGTAGAGAAAGGGCCATATTTGCTGATGAGCAACCCCTCTGTGCCAGGCGCTGTGCTTATACCTTATGTGCATTTTCTCATTCACCCCTCATTTTGCATTTGCCACCTTGTCAGATTACCATGATTCTATCCATGTTGCATATGCAGAAAGTGAGGCTTAGAGATATTACCTGGCCTCCCCGGGCCACTCAGCGGGTGGAGCCAGAATTTCAGGCCAGGATTGTAAATCTGCAGAAGCCAAGGTCTTGCTAATATGTCAAAGTAAGGACCCCACCCCCTCCCCCAGTAAGAACCTCCTGCCTGGGTCCAAGGAAGGTTAGCCCCTGCTCTCCTAAGGGCTGGATGGAGACCCTTTACAAGGAGGCAAGAGTGGACAACAGTGAGCAGTGAGCGCTGAGAACCCAGGAGGATGGGCCAGCTGAGCTCTTGCACCTCTTCTGGCAGGGGATGGAGCCAGGTGTCATTACAGAAGGCAGAGCACGGGTCAGGAGCTGGCTCCTCACTCATCGTTCAGTGCCTCAAGGAGGACAGCTGTAGCTGATCCCACCTTGTGCACGGAGGGGCCAAAGCAGCAGGGCAGGACTTGAACTCAAGACTACATGCTATCCTAGATGACACTTGGGAACTTCACTGGGCCCTTATCTAAAATCTAAGCACAACTCAAGTGCCTTAGAGGTCTCCTCCCCAGCAGATTGTCCTCTAGAGGAGTAAGTAGGCACCAATCATGGTTGGCAAGGTTATGATTATGGCAGTGAAGATGATGATGAAGAAGAGGAAAAAGAGGAGGAGGAGGAGGAGAAGGAAGGAGGAGGAAGAAGAGGGGAGGACAGGGAGGAAGAGGAGGAAGGAGGAGGAGGAGGATGAGGAGGGCAACGATGGTGATCATGATGGCAATAATAACAGAGCCCCATGTATCCACCAGTCACTGTTCTAAGCACTTTATGATATAATAATCCTATGGAGTAGACACAAGTATTATCCCCATTTTACAGAGGAAGAGACTGAGACATGGATGGTTAGGTAATTTGTCCGAGATCCTACAAATAGAGTGTGTTAGAGGTAACACTCGAGTTTCAGAGCCCACACTTTTCTCCACAATGCCCACGTCATATTTATAATACAATGAAAATGGCAATCACTATTTATTGAGCATTTTTGTGCATCAGAAACTGTGCTAAGCACTTTATTTGCATGATCTCACTTAATTCTCACAAGAGCTTTAACACTTGACAGTATTATAGTTCCATGCACAGGATGTAAAATTTGAAACCATGAGAGGGTGGCATAATATGTGTGAGGTCACAGGACCAGTAAGTGCAGGGGTGCTGGTCAAACCCAGGCAGCATGACTTCAGTCCCCATCTTAACCACTGAGGCACACTGCTTTCCTGTGGCTATATATGCCTGTGTACAAACACACCCTCTTCCATGAGCCCATGTGCACACACACACACACGCATACCAGGATAAACTTAACCCACACAGACTTACAGAAACAGACACTAAAAACTGGCTGTGTTGTCACCAAGCTAGGGTCTCAAGCCCTCAGTCTCAGGACTCCATAAAGTAGTTCCTAAGGTGGGAGGGCAAGTCTGCGCTGCAACCATGCAAATCTTCCTTGCCTAGTCAGGGCTCTGAGCATCTGGAAAAAAAACCTGTTGTGATGTAGGGGTAAGAATATTTGCACGCAGGGCTGAAACTCCAGATTCCTTTCTATGTACATTTGCAGCTTCTAATTCCACTTCCCAGGAGCTCCTGTTGGGGTTTGCACACCACCTTTCAGGGTCTTCCCTGCCAATTAATTTCAGTGCAAATTGAACCCGAGATCTTGGCCAGAGGATAGAACCAGTTGGACCTGCATAACGAATTCCCCAGCTGCCTTGCAGAGTCTGGGCTTTCTGCCTTCCAGGTTGCTTTTAGGAGTATTTCCTAAGCTCCTCCTCCTTCCTGTAAGCCCTGGCCATAGACACTTTGACACACTCAGATCCAGTCACCTTACACCTCCTGGGGAGACACCATTGATAAGCCCAGCCATACCCACCATAATCACATCAGCCACCACACACCAAACATCACCAACAAGTTCTATCTCCAAGGATCCCTCCTAAAACCAGAAATGGGCAAGATGTTCCCCCACCTTACCAAGAGGCAACAAAGGAGGCTCAGAGAGAGGAAGTGACTAGTTCAAGTCCTGACAACCCGAAGAGAAGTTGGGTTTAAAACCGTATCTACCATCTCTCTCCTGGTCCTACAACCTGAATTTCTTCCAGGTCCCCAGTGTGGCTCCAGTGAGCATTTCAGATGCAGGAGAAGGTGACCCAGAGAGGGAAGGATTGCAAGTGACAGAGAGCTTCATGGGGAATCAGCTCAGGCAAAGGAGTGGAGGCTGCTGAACTGCAGGCAGCTTCTGGAGACCGGTTTGGCCAGAGCGCAGGAAGAAGAGTGAAGAATGGAGGGACAAGGGCTGAACCGCAGTGCCCTGAAGGCCAGGCTAAGGGATTGGAAATGTGCCCCGGATACCATAGGGAACCATCAGTGGATTCTGAGGAGAACTAGGTGCCAATATTGCCAAAGAAAATTCATTTTTTTTAGATGGAGTCTCTCTCACTGTGTCACCCATGATGGAATGCAATGGCATGATCTCAGCTCACTGCAACATCCGCCTCCCAGGTTCAAGCAATTCTCCTGCCTCAGCCTCCTGAATAGCTGGAATTACACACTGGGTTAATTTTTGTTTTTAGTAGAGATAGGGTTTCGCCATGTTGGCCAGGCTGGTCTCAAACTCCTGACCTCAGGTGATCCGCCCACCTCAGACTCCCAAAGTGCTGGGATAACAGGCACAAGCCACCATGCCAGGCCAAGAAAGTTAATTTAAAGGCAATATCCCTAACAAAGCACAGATAGCTTAAGAAGTGGAAGCACAGCTGGCTGAGCGGGGCACTCCTCTCAAAGTTACATCTCCACTCAATAAAACCCCAGAAGCCTTTTCCAGCCAGTTACAAATTCACCTACCTCAGCTATCATCTAACCCTTGGTCTCAGAAAAGTAGAATAATTAAAAACTTAGCCTCCAGATTCAGACTGCCTGGGTTTGAATTCCAGCACTGGCATTTACTGGCTGTGCATCCCTGGGCAAGTTGCTTAACCTTTCTGTGATTCCATTTCCTCATCCAGAAAATAGGGATAGTAATATCTCCCTATCTCAGTCACTCATATAAAACCCAAGGTCACTATCTGTTGACCTTGAAGAAAACAGAAGCTGGACAGGCTAATAGCCAGGCAAGTATGGATCCCTTTCAGAAGATTATGTGGGGGCCAGGACGAATTGTTGTTGCACTCAGCTTCTGCCCTCCCATCTTCCCCAAATCACCTCAGAGTCTGAGCTTGGCATCTTGGAATGCCAAAACTATAGTTTAGGCAGAACTGCATTTTGAAGCATTGCTCTTTTCTGGGGCAAAGACCAATGACTTGTTGATTTTGCAAATAAGGCAGTGACATGATCCAGGTTTGAAAGAGGACCCTGGTAGTCTTAGAGGAATAGAGTGGGGACCGGAGGGGAATTATAAGACTCTGGGAATTGACCAAGAAGGAAGGAGGGGGATATTCCAAACTAAGAAGTGGTGTGCAAAAAGACAGGAAGGTGCGTCTGAGGGGGGATACAAAATCAGATTTGTCCCCAAGAAATCAACTTGTTTCTCAAAAACTGAAGCAAGAACTCAAGGAGGTGATTTGGTATTAGCAGGCACCTGGAGACACATTCTCTCCCAGCTGTGCTTGGAGACAAGGTTCCCCTGACTCTATTTGCCTAGCTGTGAAATGGACCTCGTGACATTTATACCTGACCCTTCCAGGGCAAGGTAAAGAGCCAAAGGTTTTTAGAGGAATATAAAATGATAAGGGGGACATGGCTGCTCCCAGATATGTTTGGTTTCCCAGCCCTGCTTACTCAGGAAAAATGTCCTCCTGCAAGCCTAAGAGCCACCCTTCATCTGGGTTCTCCTTCTACAGAGCCTCTTCCTGTGTCAATGAAACAGAAAGTAGGGGCTTGGGAAGGTTGATTTTGACTTGAGGACACTGAATACAATATTTCTGGGAGTTTACAAAGTGTGTTTACCAAGCAGCCGCTCTCCAAACCCTAGCAACTGCTTAAAACAAGAGAGCTGCTGATTTGTGGAGTGTTTTCTTTTTTAAAAATATCATCATAAATGTTGGATTTAGAGACATTATTTCCTCTTAAAAATAACTTGTCAAGGGGACAAAAGTACTTAAGAGGCTTTCTTCTCAGCTCAGAAAGCAATAGGGAGGAGGAGTGGTTTGTTTTGGAGTTTTTTGATTTTTTGTTTTTGGGGGATTTTTATTTTGCATGCGGTTAAAGCAAGGAGTAGGAGGAGTAGGAGAATTAGGGGGGTGTTTGGAAAGCAGGTGGATTGTTGGTTAGCTCTTTGCCTTTGGAATCCCAAACCCCTTCTCTAATTGCTCCTTCCCTCACCTTTCTCTCCCAAAAATCCACCAGGATCTAGGAAAGAACAAGATTGAGCTCTACTTTGCCCCCTTCCTTTCCTTTTGCCCCTCCCCTGCAATCCCACCCCAGTGCTCCCCCACCTACCTCTCGTATCAGATGTCAGCTTCTTCTTTCTCTCCACAGACACCACAATGTGTCCCCAGGTGCGCCACTAATGGTATACAAGATTCTGGAGGGTGACATACAAATAAGCTTTAAAAATAATTTTAGCAATATGTATTTTTTAGAGTACCAAAAAACACGGAGATAGATTATAACAGATAGTTAAGTAGATGTGATTGACAGATAGATGATATATGAATGACAGATAATGGGTAATGATTGACAGATAATTGATAGATATGATTGACAGATATGATTGACAATAGATGATAGATGGTAGATGTGAATGACAGATAATAGGTAGATAATGATTGACAGACAGATGATAGATATGATTGACAGATAGATTAATGATTGATTGATAGGGTGAGCCAGGACCTCAAACCCATTCTTTCAGATATTACCCTTTCCTCTTTAAGCACATTTTACATAACACATGTTCATTCAACCAATTATTGGGTTGTTAAGGTCCTCCTAAGGCATCATTCATGGTTCTCAGGAATATCAGTAAACAAAACAGTCATCAGACACTGACCCCACAGAGCTTATATGCTGGCAGACAGAAGCAGAAAATAAGCAAGAAGTGAATAATAATCTGATAAATTCTAAAGTGATTAGTGCTGTAAGAAAAGAAATAAAGGGAAAAAAACCAAGAAGAGAAATATAAAAGAAAAATAAGCCAGGTTAGCAGTGCCCAGGAAGGGGGAAGGAGGCAGGTTCCCAGATTTAATGAAGTGGTCAGAATTAAAGGAGGTGAGATTTCAGCAAGAACTTGAGGGAGCTTAGTAATTTCACTACAGGTTTGTCTGGGGGAAGAGTGGTTCAGGCAGAGGGAACAGCTTCAACAAATTGCCTAAAAAGGAATCCTAACCAGCCTCATCCAGAAACAGACAGGTGGCCAGTGTGGCTGGAACAGAGTGAGCAAGGCAAGAAAGTAGAGGGAGAGAAAATCAGAGGAGATAGAGATCCCAGTCACTTATTTTAAATGCAATTAAAACTAAATGAAATTTAAAATTCAGATTCTCAGCTGCATAAGCCATATTTCAAAGGTTTAACAGCCATTGCAGCTAGTGGCTATCTTATTGGATAGCACAGATAAGAAAATTTTTCTCATCACAGAAAGTTTTATGAGATGACACTGATCTCAAATGTTCTTCCCCTCCTTTGGCTTGGTTAACTCTTATTCAGACTTTATCAGCTCAAACATCACTTCCTCCAGGAAGCCTTTTCTAATCTCTCTTCCCCATTCATCAGCTCCACTGCCCTCTGCATGCTCTCAGACAGCCAGGTGGCTTTTCTTCATATATCTCTTTTTGAAATTGCGCACTCATGGCTATGCTTAGTGGCTTGCACCTGAAGGCCCAGCCACTCAGGAGGCTGAAGTGGGAGGATCACTTGAGTTCAAGAGCTTGAGGCTGCAGTGAACTGTGATCACTGCATTCCAGCCTGGATGACAGAGACTCCATTGAAGGAGGAGGAGGAGAAGGAGGAAGAAATTGTATGTTCCTTCGTACAATATCTAATATCTTACTGATGTCTCACTCCCCTAATAGATTGTAAACTCTATTGTTTCTGTTTTGGCTCATTTTTATATTGCCAGCACCTAGCAGTGTCTGGCATATGAAAGGCAAACAATTTGTTCAATGATCCACTGAATGGTTTTAGGTGGCAGGACTAGAAACAGAGTATTCACTAAATAAAGGGTTATAGCACTGTGGAGAACTGTGATTCAGGAGGCTCCTGGGACCCAAAATTTTGTTGGGTGAGAGCATCACCAGAGGCTGAAGTCCCTACTGCACCAAACCTGGATTCAGCACAGGACCCCTACATCATTTTTGCACCCAGCTTCCCACCAAGGCCCCCACATGGTGTCCCTCCAGGATAACAACAGAATAACATCTGTCTTTACTTGAGAAGCCAAGTCTCAGCTATTCACAAAATGTCTTTTCATTCCTCCAGTCCTGCACTTGCCGCGGCAGTGGCGGCAGCCTCAGAATACTTGCTTTTGTTGCTCACACATCCGAGGAGTGGGGACCGACCTTGGCACATTTGCTGGGATGCCTGACTAGGCACGGAGAGTGCCGTGTGCTCCAGCACGTATGTGGCCGCCCTCATGGAGGAAATGCTGGACTGCAGAGCCCTGGATCTGACAGGTAACATGCAGCAGCTGCATGATTTACAAGGCCTTGTGGGGAGAGGTTTTGTCTCCCACTTTGAGAGCTTGAGTGCTTCATATTAATATTTATGGGAGTCTGGGGCCTCCATTAACCCCACCAGTGCCACATTTCACTTGTTACATGGTGCCTGTCTGTGAATGAATGCGAAGGCCCATGTTCAATTGTACATGTATGTGCATGTGGGGATGTACATGGACCCATATGCATTTTGGGAGAGTATGTATACATGTGCAATCAATTGCATTTCAATATGAGTATGACTCTATGCAGCTATGTCCACATAATTGTGAATATTGTGTGTACACTGTAAATGCATGTGAATGAGTATTTGGACATGCATGTTTATAGGCATGGATACATATGCATACATGTATAATGCATGTGTATATATTTGTGTGCATGTATGTGAGCACATGAGTTTGTATCTAGCAAATGAGCACATGTGGATTCTGTGCTTCAATATGTGTGCAGGCCTGCCTCCATATGTGTAAGCATGAGTGTATACATATGCATGTTTATTCATGCACCTGCTCTAAGAGCATATGCATATCTACATACAGGTTTAGAGCTTCAACATTATCCCAGAAACAGGTTCATTAAACTATGGGTGATTCCATAAAAATTGCCTCACCTAGAGTCTGCTGCTTTTATAAACACTTGCTCTGGTAATTATGATATATTTACTGGAAAGTTCAATTGAGAACAGATGAAATGTGAAAGAACTGTTCATTAATTGCAAACAGTACCAATGTCCCAAGACAATGATGCTCAAAGTGTCCTCCTCCACCACACACACACACACACACACACACACACACACACACACTTCTCACCACCATGCTCCTCTGCCAGCAATTGAAATGAGCAACAAAGCTGCAGTTTCTCTCTGACACTCTTGTCGTCATGTTTGTACTGCTGCATCTCCAACTTCCCATCACCCATCTTTCAGCCCAGAGATGCAAAGAGAGCATCTTATGACTGGAGAGCATTAAGCACACCCTTATAAATGTAACTACCCTCTGCAGAGGGAATTAGAGAGGAAACTGTCACCAAAGAAGACTATGTCCGACTCTTCCATACTTTCCCTGACCTGAGTGTTTCAGATAAGGCATAGCGGACTTATAAAGTTTGGTGACAAAAATACAAATTTCAGCATCAGATAGGTGGGGATTCAATTCTAGTTCCTCCATAGGGTGACACTGAGAAAATAGTAACCACTCTGGACCTTATTCATCTCTGACCCGCAGATAACAGTAACCCATGCTTCATAGGGTTAAGTGAAACGTAATAATGGAATTAATCTCACAGTTTGGCCACACTTCTGCTATGTGACCTGCCTGCCTATTATCCACAGAAAGGGACATGTGTGCCATGCTCTGGCTCCCAGAACACAAAGGAGGATAGGTGTCAAGCCTGGCAATGGGAAGCGTATCCCTTCTCTGTCCACTCAGAACAGGCAGAAGTGAGCCCCCAGGTCAGTCCGGGACCATGATCTTTTGTAGAGTAAGGCTCAGGTGCCTGTAACACCAGCAGAAGCAGGAAAGTGAAGGTGGCAGATCCAGAGAAGAAACAAAGGGGCATGAGAGTGAGGGCAGCTGTGGCTCCTGAAGCTGATGGAGTCCTGGGCTATGATCAATGCCTGCCTCATGCTCCAAAGCTCTGAAATGGGCACCTTCTCTTCTTCCACTCTGCTGTCCGTTTATTGGGAGGAGTCCACGCCTAGGTAAGATGTACAGATCTCCAAAAAAGAAAACACAATATAAACAGTGGATTTGTGGGTTTCATCTTCCTTCTGATGCTGAAACTGGTTTCTTCCAGAAAGTACCAGAGCTCCTCCCACTGCCTCCAAAGCTTTCCCTCTAGCCCAAAGACAACATCCCTTTTTGATACAAATATGAAAGAATTTATAATGAATGGCTGGTATTTTTTATTAAAGTAACTTCACATGCAAAGAATGCAGAGAGGCAGCTAAAACTGAGTTTGGCCTCATAACAAATTATTAATATAGGTGGTTTTCTGCATTGAAGTAGTAACTTATCTCATGTATTTTAATTCTTCCGAGTGAGAACACTGAGCTCTGATTTTCTTATCTAAATGTATCTTTTTGGAGGCATTCTGGGATAATATATATAAAATGCATCTTGTATTATCCTAAAAGGATTATATTTTAGTATGCATCATTTAGGATAATATGTGTAAGACAATGGAGAAAGACATTAAGAATATTAAGTGTGAGGCATAGGAAATTGACAGAACGTGGTAAAGGTGTTCAGAAATGAAGGAGGCATACAAGATGCGGAGGAGATACAGAGAAGGTGCTCCACAGTTGAAAGAGGTGCTCTCCATGGTCTGGACACATGCTCCAAAGGGCAGTAACTATAGAAAGAATAAAATTTCAGCCATAGTAGCTGCCGTCTTCACCAAAATAAGGCTAGGTTTCTAGGCCAGGAAAGCCCAGCCTGGAAAGCCCAGTGATGCCTACTTCCACAGACCAGGTACACCCTGGATGCAGGACTGTCCGTTCACTGCAGCTGGATTGTCTTCTGTGTGTACTGGGGTAGGTAGCAGCACAGAGCAGCTCTGCCAACCAGATTGACTTCTTTTACGAGGGCTACTGGAAACCATGCTGTCTACTGGATGTACCATTTGAGGACTTTCGTTTTGGTGGGGGGAGGAGGAGCAGAGCAAACCTCTAATCTTCCCTCTCTTACATAACAAATCCAAACACAACTATCTCTGGGATGACAGGCCAGGCCAGCAGACTGCAGGCTGCAGAGGGAAGGGTTACGCAAGAAGCCACTTCAGAGTTTTCCTTACCGAAAACAGAAGGGCACAGAATGCACATTTTGCATCTGAAAGCCTGCAAGGGAATGATCAGAAACTCTAAACC